ACCGAAACAGAGACTGACACTCCTGTGGCAAAGTTGGGAGCTGATGTCACTGACATATCAATTGAAACTCCATCTTTTGATATTAAATCTAAAGTATCTAGTTCAGAAATGGAAGTGTCAGACTTAATATTGCCAATGCCAACGCTGAAAATGCCTCATAAGCCTAAAGCTGAAGGGAAAGCACCAAGTGTGGACATCAGTCTCCCATTAGGTGATGTTCAAATGGCAAAGGCAGAGATGGACATTCATGGACCAGATTTGGAAAGTAAAGCAGTAAAGGGAGAGAGTGAAGTTAAATTAGAAGAAAAAGACCCTGAAGGCAAGGAAAGCAAGTTCAAAATGCCCAAATTCAAACTGCCCTCTTTCAGTTGGTCACCAAAGAAAGAAGCCATCGTTCAATCTGATATTGAAGGAACCCTGGAGGGGCGTATCTTGACCTCACCATCAGGAGAAACAGAATCTGAACTAATACAACCTGTCCCTGAGAATCAGGGAGTAAGTGTGGAACTGGATAGTGAGGTATCTTTAGGAAAGGATGGTGAAAAGGGCAAAATGAAAAAGCCTCAGTTTATCATGCCAAAGATCTCACTTCCTAAGATGAAGGGTCACAAAGTCAAAATAGACACTGATACTAGTGGCTCAACACTAGAAACAGAAGGAGATGGTTTGCTACAGATGTCAGGGAAAGGAAGCAGTGGAGATAAAGCAGGAGTGGGCATAAAAGTGCCAAAAGTTAAGATCCCTACGTTGGAATTTTCCAAACCAGAAATCAAAGCCGCCAGACAGGACCTGGACATCAGCTCCCCTAAAACTGATGTTGCAGTTCCTTCTTGTGATGTAAGCCTTCAAGAAGCTGACCTGAAATTGAGGTCTACTGATGATGGTATCGGCCTGTCAGCCTCAGATATCAAGAGTCCAACAGCAAAAGGCTCCATACAGTTGAAGGGTCCAGAAACAGGATTTGAAGGACCATCAGCTGGTATTGGTGAGGGTGGAGTAGGAATAAAAGTTGAAGACCTTGAAGGGAAGACCAAAACAACCAAATTGCAAAAGCCAAAGTTTGGCATTTCACATTCTAAAGGGAAAGTGATGGAGGCTGAATCAGGAACTGAGGTTCCTCACCTGAAAGTGATGACTGATATTACTGAAATTGCTGTGGAAGCACCAACTTTAGAAGTGAAGTCTATCATCCCTGGTGCAGAAACAGAAGCTGCAAGCTATAAAATCAGAATGCACCAAATTTCTGAAACTGAGTTTAAGGCAGCAAAGGTTGACGTGAGGCTTCCATCAGTTGATGTTTCTATTCCCAAGACCGAGATTCAAGGTTCTGATATGGTAGCAAAGCCTGAAGGAGAAATCAAACCTGGAGATGCAGATGGAGATGAGAAAGAAGGGCATTTCAAATTGCCAAAATTTAAACTACCATCATTTAGTTGGTCACCAAAGAAGGAGGCAACTATTAAAGCTGCTTCAGAAGCACCATTGGAAGAACGTGAAATTACTGTAGCTCCAGGCAAAATAGACCCCAAGCTAACAGTAATTCCAGCTGAGGATCAGGGTTCTAGTGTAGATCCAGATATTAAAGTATCAACTGGAAAAGAAGAACAAAAAAGTCAAATGAAAAAGCCTCAGTTTGCCATGCCTAAAATATCACTCTCTAAAATAAAGGTTCCTAAATCTCAGGTTAATCTGCCAAAAGGGGAAGCTGATAGAGATGACTCAGTACAGATACCCGATATAGAAAGCAGTCATAGCGAAAGCATGGACGAGGGGACACAAATAAGCATAAAACCATCAAAAGTGAAAATCCCTACTTCGGAATTTTCCAAACCAGAGATCAAACCCCCGAAAGTAGACATAGATGTTAGCGTACCAAAGGCTGACACCACTCTTCCTGCACTTGATGCGGGTGTCTATCAAGCTGACCATATAGTAGGGGCTGGCAGTGAAGATAGCAGTCTGAAAACAGATACTAATCTTCCTGAAAAAGAAGCATCCATTAACCTCAAGAGTCCAGGATCAGATATTGAAGGACCGTCAGCTGTGGATGGAGCACAGGTGAAAGTTGAAGATCTTGAAGGGAAAATTAAAATGCCTAGATTCCAGAAGCCAAAGCTTGGGATCTCCCTTACAAAAGGGAAAGGGCCTGAGACTGAGGTCAGCTTACCTAAAATAGAAGCTGAGGTTCCTCAGCTTAAATTGACAACAGATATTACCGACATTGCAATGGACACTTCAGTACCAAAAGTTGAATCTGATGTTTCTGCTGAAGGACTAGAGGCTTTGTGTCACTTGCCTGCAGCTGACATTCAGGCTCCAAAGGTGGACATTAGTCTCCCATCAGTTTCTGATTCAATGGCAGAGGTGGCAATTCTAAGCCCTGAGGGGAAAGATATAAAAATGGAAGGAGAACATGAAACAAAGTCTGGGGACATTCAGACTGGAGAACATCAGGGCTGGTTTAAAATGCCCAGATTCAGAATGCCAACATTTGGTCGTTCATCTTCAAAGGAAAAAAGAAGTGACACTGACTTTGAAGGAAGTCTGGAAAAGGCTCAGATAAGTGTTCCTTCTGTGGAAATACAAGGTGAAATAAGTGCTCCTGAAAATGCAAACTTGTTGCCACAGGTAGACGCTGAATCTGCTGCTGGAAAAGCTGTTTTGGAAAGCACAATGCCATCTGTTCAAGAAGAGATTCCAAAATTGGGAGTTTCAGTACCCAAAATAAAGAGTTCTGATGTCAGTTTGTCAAAGTTTGAAGCAGATGTTTCACTAACTGCAGAAAAATCAGGCATTGATGTGGGTTTTCCAAAAACTGAAACTTATGCTGATGTAGTTAAGCGCAGTGCTGACGGACAAAAATTACAAGTTCACATGGCAAAAACTGCAGGTCCTCAGGTAGAACTCACGTCATCAGAAAGTAGTGCTTCAAAAACTATTACGCTTCCCAGATACCTGCCTGAAACTGAAATAGGTAGAGCAGAAATCCAGTTTCCAAAAGAGGAAGGATCCATTGATCTGAAAGGTCCAAAGACAGAACTTAAGGAACCATCAACCAGAATTTCAGTGGACAGTCCAGACCAACAAAGTGAGCCAGAGATAAATGTTAAAATTCCCAAATTGAGAATACCAAGTTTTACTTACAGTGCACTCCCACCTGAAGTTGATGTTTCGACATCCAAAATGACAATAGATGCTGAAGGAGCTGCTATTGACACTGAAGCACAAATACTAGAAGAGAGAAGTGCAGTCCTTCCAGAAATACTGGAGGCTGTAGGTGGGACTGTACAAAGGTCAACAGCCAGCAGTCCACCATCAACTGAGCTTGATGTTAAAACAACACAGGTAGAAATTATGTTGCCTGCCGCAGAGTTTTGTATTCCAAAACCTGCACTAGACAGTCCAAGGTCGCATGTAGAAAGCAAAGAAATAAAGATTGACGGTAATGTTGAATCTGGACGTATTGACATTGAAAAACATGAAACTTACTCCACTCAGATAGTGAAAGAATCTGAGATTCTTCCATCAGAAATCAAAACTGCTACTTTTGGCTTTTCACTTCTCAAAGCGAAGATTCCTGAATCGCAGATTAACTTAGATACACGAGTCAAACAGGAGTCATGCACAGAATATAAAAGCGCTGTGTTTGAGAGTGAAGTTCTTCAAGTTAAACACTCTGATGACCATTCAGGAATAGCGATGGAAAGGACTGATACTGCTGAGCATGAATTACTTGATAAGCCAGGGTGTGAGACTGAAGAATCTGGTATGGCAGCATCTGCCAATGTTAGTTTGCCAGAACTGGAAACCTTTGCAGTTGACGTACAGCCTTCCAGCAAATTGGAAGAAGGTCCTCTTGACAAGCAACCAGAAGAAGTAACTGTATCTCCTCTTTCTAAAGACAGTGAAGTAGCTGAAGTACCAGAAGATGAAAAAAAAGATACGAAGGATCAAAAAGAAAAACCTGACAGTAAAAGATCTCCTGGAAGATTCAAGTTTTGGCTTCCAAGCATTGGATTTTCTTCCTCTGTTGATGACACAAGCGTGGACTCCAAAACTGAAGTAAAAAAACCAGGTCCAGAAGAAACACAACCCACTGATACATCAACAGCAGATCCTGACTCTTCGAAGCAGACTGAAAAAGCTGGATGGTTTAGATTCCCCAAACTAGGTTTTACATCTCCATCAAAAAAGGCCAAGACGGCTGACAAGGAAGAGACAAATCTAAAAGAAAGGAAAAGTTCAGATGAAGAAAGCCCCTCAGAGACTCATGATACATTTTTTGATGCAAAAGAAAGCTTATCACCTAAAGAAGACGACGAAACAGGGACCTCATCAGATGTTCGAGATTCTCGTGTTATTGTTACATCGTCAGCAAGAACAGAACTAATATTGTTGGAAGAGGAAAGAGCTAGTCAACAAAATATTCCTGAAGCTGAAACCAAATGAGGATTTTTCTCGACTGAAACACATATTGGAAATTTGGGAGCAATCTGTATTAGAAGAAAAGACACGCAGAAATATGTTACCTTCTCCAAGAGTTTTCAAAGAACTGAAAATGAAACTACATCTAGAACTGAAATGTATGGAGTCTAAAGAACATTCTTCACTACAGTTGCATTTTCAAGTACATAAATGTGTCACATAGTAGCTCCTATTAAAGACATTTGTTTCTAGGATGTGCTCCAGAAGAAACAACTACTAAGGAAAACGAGGTGTTCATAGTTAATTAATAAATTTCAATCACAATTCTCTTGATCATGCAAAATGAACCATCAAATGGAGCAAAGACACTATAAAGACTGATTCATTTTAGATGTCTAAAACATGCCAATTATGTTTAGGCTGTAGATTATTTGCCGAAAAGCATATGAAGCTACTGCTATGAGGACTTGAAACATATTTACCTGTTTAGATTGTATTTTAAAATGTATTTCCATCCTGAAATTGCTTTTTTAAATAGATTTTCTTTATGTCAGATAGAGTTATATGTGTATTCCACGGTCATTTTAAAATGTAGAACAAACAGAAATAATAGCTAGGGCGATACTTTTTTCCTTTCCTTTTTGGTTACTAGGGTGGTTACTGTTTAGTCTTAAAAGCCAAAAGACTGTTGTGAAAAGATATATAGTTGATTTGTATCAAAATGCCAAAATAAAGGATGGCAACTGGGGAGAGTAACAAGAATTGGGGGTAATAAGGTTCATGATGTATATACGTACCAAATGAGTTAATGCACAGAATGAAGTATATGATCTGTAGCACTTCAGTGGATTCACTCTAAAGCTTTTCTAGAAAAATAAGATGTATATAGTTATATACTTTTTTGTTTATATTAAAGCCTCTCTCAAGTGCACAACCAAACAAAAAGGTACATACCTGATAGCATTCACTGCACATGTATGATTACAATGTCAAATATATTCTCAATTCACGGTAAATTCACTGTATGGATAATAAATGCGGTAACATTATTGTTGTCATCAGTCTTTTTTTCTGGAAACTGCAGTGCAAAGTATTTCAGACATTGCTTACAGACCTAGGGAAAGGTTGGGGTAAGTCTAATTCTCTGCTGAACCTGATTAAATATGCTCTGGGAGTCGGGGGTGGGGGGTGCTTTAATTAAAGTGCCTGCAGCATCTCATGTATCAGCGTCCCCGGGCTTAAAAATCGCAGCAGGGTTGCCTTAAATAAAGTTCAATGAGCTTTAGTTCAAGCACCCCCGCCACCATTTTTCACTGCGGGGATGCTGATACATGAGATGTTGGAGTCTGCTGAAACATGGTTATTACCACACTCTAGCAAACCGGATTAATTGAGCTTGCTCCGATTCACTGTAATTATAACGCATCAGAGTAGCCCCGCAGTTTAAGTATAGGTGCCGGATGCAACTTGTGCTTGGACTTGATGGGACCGTAGATGGTTAAGACATTGGTACTGGTTACAGACAAATCAATAACTACTCACTATTGTTAATCTGCATATTATATTTTTAAACATGCATTAATATTTTCTCATCTATATTTTTTTCTATTTATTCCTTTTATTAGTTTAATTAATGTAGCCTGGAGCAGCCATTCTGGCTGCTTTTCCCAATCATCCCTGCTGCTAAAATAGCTGTGGGGGCTGGGCACAACTTAGAATAGCACTGAATATGAGCAGTTTGGATAAGCAAGAGAATCAAGGCCGGATGGTTTAATGGTGGCTGCTATAATGTATGCAAAAATAGATGTCAGCACCTGATAGCAATTCAGGTAAAAACAGACAGTGCCTTTCAGGCTTATTTCAAGCTCACGGAAGACTAGAGTTCACATTCAATAAATGAGAATACTTCTGATGCTGCGTGCATCTGCTTAGCTCCACAAAATGGAATGCTCCAAGGCAGGGGTGGCCAATCTGTGGCACGTGTAGCACAAGTGGCATGAGGAGCCTCTGTGTCTGGCACACGACAGATCAGGGAGAGATCCAGGAACACATTGACAGACGGTGCACAGAGCAGAAAGCAGAGCAACAGATTGGACAGGGAGCACAGAGCAGGGAGAAGAAAGCAGAAAAATAGATCAGGTAGAGAGCACAAGGCAGGAAGCGGAAAGCAGAGCAACAGATTGGACAGGGAGCACAGAGCAGGGAGAAGAAAGCAGAAAAATAGATCAGGTAGAGAGCACAAGGCAGGAAGCGGAAAGCAGAGCAACAGATTGGACAGGGAGCACAGAGCAGGGAGAAGAAAGCAGAAAAATAGATCAGGTAGAGAGCACAAGGCAGGAAGCGGAAAGCAGAGCAACAGATTGGGCAGGGAAAGGGGATTGGAGTAACACGCAGGTACAGGGCTTACCTTGTGACACACCTGCCAAAAAAGCTGGTCCCCAGTGTTCCAAGGGATCTTTACGGGAACCAGATAACACTGCCTGTGTGAGTCTGCTAGGAAGAAGACAGAATGAGATAATGTAAGAACTGATGGCACTGGCTGCACAGCAGAAATGAATGAAGCATACTAGATTGGAGAAAAAATATATAGAAAAGCCATAGACAATTCCTCATGAAAGAATCCTGCCATGAGTAGAGAAATGGAGGACACGAAAGGAAGGAGGTAGGTTAATGGGAAAGTGTATAAGAATACAGGAATGGCTGACACAAGAGTTCAAGGTAGGTCTAGTAGAGGTGTACAAGCCTAGAGAACATATGGGCCTTGCTAATGTTGCACTTCGGGCTGGTCAAATGTTGATGGTATAGTGCTAGCTTGATTCTGGAGCAGTTGCACCTTAAGGCTAAAACACCTTCCCTGACCGTCCTGCACCTGCACAGCTATGACTTGCCACGAGAGGGCTGGGGAGTGAGAACAGGTTTCTATCTCTGCTCCAGGTTGTGGGGAGTGTAAGAGATGGATTGTGGGGCGGAGGACATGTGAAGTCAGGAGGTGAAGAGTTACTGGGATGGGGGTAGATAATAAAATGGGAAGTGGAGAGGAAATGGGGGGTGGGGAAATGGAGGAAGTCAGCCACTGAAAGGTAAAATAAAAAGAAGGAAGAAAAGAATTTAAAAAGCAATAAAAAGTAAGTCAATTAATGAATTCATTTTTAATAAATTGGGGTTTGGGATTGGGGTATGGGGTGTGCTGGTTGTGCTTCCTGGGGTGGCTGGGAGGTGGGAGCAGTGAGGGAAGGCATTTTGGGGGGAGCTACTGCCCCTGCTCCAGGAAGGAAGCAAGCATCAGGTCATGGGGACCCAGTCTGGCTCCCCCACTTGTTCTCCCTCACCTCCAACCCCGCTCATGGACCTGTCCATGCCCTGCAACCTGGCTAGCTGGCAGGTGCTCTGCAGGCTGTTTGCATGGGGTTGCATCCCTGGAGGTGGGAAGGTCACAGAACTGCGCCCTGGGCAGTAGAGTTCAGGGGGTGAGAACTTTATCTACATGGAAATGGGGGAGGGGACACTGCATCCTGGGATGCTGGAGGACTGCAACTTGAGTGGCTCATCTGTGGGGAGTGGCTACACATTAATAGATCATGAGCTGGGTAACACAGATCAGAGATAAACCTGCCCTGGAGTGGCATAACTGTATTCTGCCTAAAGCGTGCTTAAAACTAGCTTCGGGTGTTAATGTGTAGACAATCCAGGGGCTAAGAGCTCCAGGAGCGGTCTAAAATTAATGTGTAACAAGGCCCATAGAAGCAAAAAGAAAGTAGATGTTGAAGGCTCGTTCAGCACCACTGCAATCTGCATACTAATTTCTACCTGCCGCATACTAATTCTACAGTTGGTATTAAAACTGTGTTTTCTTTCATTTATCATTACTGTTTATTTATCAGCCTCCAAAATGTGCTAAACACTTATAAAACTAGAAACCGTGCCATTTGGGCCCAGCAGGCCTGACTTTCTTAATTTGACATGGTGCAACAAATGCGAATCATAAGTATACAGAAAAGGGAAGAGAGAGAAAAAGGGCAGCCCTCGAATCGCCATAGAATCATCCAGTGAGGCATGGATGCATCTTTATTGTTAAGTTACTCTGGATTCAGTGAAGATAACTTAACACACACACCCTCTCCTGACATATTGGTAAGATCCTAGAGCAGGGGCAGCCAGCCTGCGGCTCCGGGGTCACATGCAGCTCTTCTGAAGTTAATAAGCTCCTTCTTCAATCTTTGCACAAGCACACGGCGCGTGCCATTTGGAAGTTTATCACCGTGTGCTTGTGCAAAGATTCAAGGAGATGCATATTAAATTCTAAAGAGCCCCATGTGGCTCTGGAGCCACAGGTTGGCCACCGCTGTAGTGGCACCTGAATGTGGCCAGAAAGAGGTTTTGGACGGGGTCTGAGTTAGAAAGAGCTACGTGCAAGAAGGCACGGGAAGATTTGAGAGACAGCGTGGTGGGTGGAGTGCTGAGCCTGGCATCCAGGATAAGTAGGAAACTCTCATTACACTGTGAAATCAACCCCTGCATGAATTGCTGTTACCGTATTTCTCATATGATGCGCCCCCCAAATGAAACATGCGCCTTGATTTTGTAAGGCAGAGCATAGAAAAAAAAAGGATTTTTCTAGAGTCACAGCTGATTGTGTGACAGAGTGAGTCCTGGTAATGCAGAGCGTCCAGGAAGCGTGGCACCAGAAACTTCCTTGTGCCAGCTTCCTCACCCCCTTGTTTCCTAGAATGCCACACTTCCTAGACAGTCTGCATTTCCAGGAGGACTTAGTATGTCACGCAGAGTTAGGCCCCGGACCCTTGCATGGGCAGTAGCAACACTGTTCATTCTTTACATAAATTCATTAAAATAAAATGTTTCCACATCTAAAGCCTCATCAAGATACCAGCAGCTGACATGGTCATTGCATGAGAGCCCCAGCTGAGATTAGACTCCAACCCACACGCGGTGACAATCTCTGCCCTGAGATGATTATAACCTAAAGGGAAGAGATAGCAAAGAGTGGGAGATACGAAGGATTATTA